TCTCTCAGCAACCTGGCTTTGCGCAGCAGCTGTCTTGGCCTGCCCCCCGCCCCCCGGCCCGGCCTGGCTCTCACATGCAGCCCTCTGTGCCCCAAGTTCTCAGGCAAACAGATAGAAATATAGTTGTAAAGAATCTGAGTGGCTGCCAGGCTAGTAGGGGAGCCATCTGCCACAGGGGAATCACCAGGCCTGAAATGACAGGTACCCTGGGCCCCAGCCTGGGCCTAGCCTGGCCCCCACTCTCCCACTGCAGCCCCCAGTGTAGACCACAGAGGCAAGAGGTGAGGGGAATAGCTTTCAGGCCACTCCAAGAAACCAGGGGCATGGTCAGTCCCCACTTGGCAATGGGTCCCTCAGCCGAGCTGCAGGCTTGGGGAAGTGGGAGCAGAGGATGTCGTCCTAAGGTACAAGACTGCCACCTAAGCCTCAGCGACAGGCTTGTCCTCAGCTGACACCTCCCCATCACCAGCCTCCACCGACTAATAGATTTCCAGATCGTGAACCTGGAGAGGAAGGAAAAGGAAGAGGGCATTCCCCCCCAGACCCAGCCAAGAGCGGCCTCCCACACCTCCATTTCCCCTTGGTGTGTCCCCCTGCCCCTCTTGATGTGGGGACTGTTCAGACAGGCCTCCAGCCACAGTGACACATCTGGTTCCAATCAGGAGAACAGGTTCCCAGGTCACAGAGGAACATGGGGAGGGAGGCCAGAGGACAAGCAACCCGAGCTCACAACCCCCGTGCTTCCTCTCCAGAATGAGCCCCCCATCCCATTTGTCTCCTTTCGCCTCCCAGATGAGTCTCCCATGGCCCCTGGGAGACGGAGGGAAATCCTGTGGGGGTGGGGAGGGCCACCTTTCTTCTTCCCTGGGTACTGACCACAGATCCCTGACCTCGTTTCTACTTAAACCTTCAAACCACAAAGGAAAGAAGAAAGGAAAGTAGGGGCTGGGGGGAGGAGGAAGGGCTGCAAATAAAGAGCAAGCAGAGGTCCCGGAAGCCATCAAGTCCCAGCTGGCGCTCACGGCCCACGAGGAAGAGTCCAGAGAAGGAAGTCCACTAGAATTCACTGAATCGGCCCCGTGCCTGGTGCATGCCTCATGCCCACTCCTTCACAGCAGCTCTGAACAATAGAAGCATCAGCCCCACTGGACAGATGGGGAAACCGAGGCTCAGGGAGCCAGAGGTCTCAACTGTCCGGCTCACCCAGGTAGTAAGTAACCTGGTATCCGATTCCAGAGCGTGGACACCAAGCTGCCCTCCGGGAAACCATCAGGATCTGCTCTGATTCCCACAGTCTCAACTTCTTCTCAGGCCAGAATCAGAGGATACAAGCCTCAACAGCAGCCTCAGTGGACAGGGTTTGGTGCCAAGAGTTCTCATCCTGGCTCTGGATGGGCCTCAGCATCCCTAGCAATAAAATGGACCAGGGCCGTCTAAAACCGGGTTGAACTGTGATTCAGTGACTCCCCCATCCTTTCGTTCCTGTCACCCTGAACAAACCTAGAGGCTTCCCCCTGGCCTGGGTGGTCTTTAGGAAAAGGATTCTGGCCCTAATTTCCGAATGCAGAGTTGGCAAGGGGGCCAAGAGAATGATGGGACCCAGCCATCCATGGAAGCCGCTAATCTCCATCTTCCCTCCGCCCCTCCCCAGGGGACTGTACTGCCGCCCCCACTGAAAGCAATTTGTCATGCCCTGAATTAAGTGATTCCAACAAGGGTTTAATTTCAGTTTAATGGCTCTGTTTTTATGTGTAATTAAATACCATTGCATAGCAAAAATATGTTGTTTGCACTTTAGAGACCGTGTAAGGGCCCAGGGAGCCAGTCCCACGGAGTTTCTCCCCCCAGGCTCCACCGGCCCCTCCCCCAGTCTGGCTGGAATTGTCCAGGTCCAGAGGAAGGGGGTGGGGGACCTGAGGGAAGGACAGGGGAGGGGAGGGGAGAGGTGGTCTTGGTGGCGCCAGCTCACTCAGTAGAGCATGTTTCTAATTATCTGCAGCACACACCCCCCCTCTTCTTTCTGACCTCAGCCCTCCCCAACCCCTGGGGCCTCAGACACAGAGGGGACAGGTCACTCCAATAGTGAGGATCTAATGAGACCCTTGGTTGGCCAGGGTGATATCTGTCCACCCCCAGGGGTATGACAAAGCCACCGGCTCCACTGACCCTCCTCTGCTTACCTCCTTCTCCCTCTTGAATCCCTTCCTTCCTGTCGTCCTTCCCTCACAACCACAGACTGCCCCCTTTTCCCCCTCTTCCATGAGGACCCAGAAGGCAGCTGCTGCAGCCTCCCAGCTCCATCCAACCACTTCTGGGTCAGAGGTGACACTGCCACAGGGGCCTGGAATGCAGGGGGAGTTTCTCTGGCTGGAAATGTTTCAGGGTCATTAACCACATAGCCATATACCCTCCGGAAAGGGGGGGCTGAGCAGGCACCCCAAATCCTACATGCCTCATGACATTCCTGGAGCAGCTTGGTGGCAAAATCTGGCTCTGAGAGCCAAGGGGTTGGGACAATGAGCTTTTCCTGCAAGGAGCTGAAGGGGTGGCAGCTGCTGAACCTCAGATCATTGATGGGGAATAGGCTGGAGGCTTGGCCGTCCCCTCCTGGGATTATGCTGCCCGAATCCAGGAGAGTCAGTTCAAGGCTCCGCGTTTCCTCCCTTCCCCCACCTGCCTTCTTGCCAGCGGGAAAACCCAGCCCCCAGCCCATCAGGGCTTGATCTCCCCTAATGAGCTGGGAAATGGAAACCAAATGCTTGCTATAGATCGGCACCAGTGGGCTAGGGGACCCGGGACGGCACAGCGTGCCCATCCCCCTGCTCCAAGGCAGGAGAAAGGGTCATTTCCTGGGGAGGCAGAGCCTAGCATGCAGGACCTCAGTTCTCAGGTTCTTCCGGGTGTAGTGGGGTGGCCCCCACCAGGACTTGGTCCTTATCACCTCCCTCCAGTGCTGCCAGAGGTGTGGACACTCCCTGTGGAACTCAAGGGACCATTCAAGGTTATCCAAAAGCAGAAGGCAGGGTGGAAGGCCCTACATGCAAATATAGATCTGCTTTTATTGTTTTCTTT